TGCCTACTGGACCACCAAATCACAAACATCAGAGTAGCTCACATTACTGGTTGTTCCATGTATTTGTCACACGGCCACAGATGACAGCACAAAGCTGCGTATGTTGATGTGGGTCTGTATGGCTTTGTGTTGCACTATAATGCAAGGACCTCAACTTGATGCAAAAAAGAGTGTAGTGCCTAGAATATCCTCGTAGTTGAAAGATCATTCAGTAAAAAGCTAATATTTCTAGAGCATGACTAATATCGAAGATTTTTAAGCTCCATTATGATATCTGACGATTTAAAAATCACCAAAATCCAATATGTCAGCCAATGTTTTTTTTCCCCCCTTCTTCTTTCAAACATACCACAAAATTCCAAAACAAATTTCACTAACATTTTTTGTGTTTACGTTTTTAAGCCATATTAAGATAATATGAGGAGTTGCAATAGAGGGTGGCTCAAGAGGTGGGCAGGTCTACTTATCCGTGGCTCCTCCAACATCCATGCTGAAATGTCTTTGGGCAAAGTACTGAACCCTGAGTTGTCCCTGATGAATCCGTCAGAGCATTTGGAAGTTAAAGGTGCTTAGTGTTGTATGTTAAAGGTGCTTAGTGTTGTATGAATGCGTGTGAATAGATGAAATTTGAAATCTAAGGCTCAAATCAAGAACCCAAATATTCAAAGTTTTGACTGCCAAATCATCTTTTCTCATCATTTTAAAAATACATACCCGTGGTATGTGAAGACTGAAAACTTGATCAACTTGGCAATGAATATACTAGCATGTGTTTCTCATTCCTGGCTGCACTGATTTATTGCCAATGTGTCCATAAGTTTTAGGAGTTTAAACAGCAGCCTTGTGATAAATATCTTCAGAAATCTGAACATTATAAAATATTTCTGTTTCCTGCCCTTATAGTCTACCTCCAATGGTTTAATCATTAGCCAAATCAGTCACATACCTCTACGCACTGGACCACTGTCAAGCTCAAAGTGTTTACCGAGGACTGAGGGAATAAAAGTGATGTATGCTCAACATATGCAAACACACTCAACAGCAAACACAGAACTACCCTTCTGAATTTCTTAAACAAAGGAAGGAGTGGAGAACTTTGGGATATGGGCGACAGACCCAAAATAGACCCAAACCCTTTGAAGCAGCTGTTCTAGATGTTGTCCTTCTTTAGGTATGCTCGGGTCCAGGTTGTCTGGCAATAAAGTCATTACTGGACTAAATATTTAACCATACACTATTCCCAAGCTCTGTGGTGAGTTGTTCTGGGCTAGCCAGTTGTAATTGTCGCTCATGCGAATTATTATTATTTAAATTATTTCAACGGACATAAATATGATAACGCATTAGATTTTGAGTTTTAATATACACCATATAACCCACATTATATGTATATACATAACATAATTTATTTTTTCAAAAAGTGTGGACATTTTGTAAAAAATGATTATTATGTTGACGTTATATCAGTATCTATGAGCTTATTTCCGAAGAATGCTCATTACCAGCTTTTTTTTCTTGAGCTCACAGTTCAAAACTATTCTTATATTTCTTATATGAGGGGAGTTATTATTTCATGTCAGTGCGAGCCTTAAAACATCAAACCCATCTGAGCCTAAACAGTAACACAGGAAATCACACACAGTATTTTTTTTAATACTATTTAATAGTATTTTTTAATACTAATATCTGTACTTCTACTTAAGTACAGAATCTCTGTACTTTTGCCACCTCCGGTGACCTGATAATTTTAAAACTTGCCCATGTTTATTATAAACATCCACCTAATTGCTCGATTGAACAGTCTAAAACATGTTTTACCAAATCCTGATTTCTTTTTTTTTTCCATATTTGTCACAAGGTTCTGATCATGAAACTTTCATGAAACTTAATTTTTTTTTATATTAGATAGAGAACCTAAATAATACAAAATATGTTTTTTAAATGATGATTTAATTTTCATTTAAGTCCACAGGTTCTGTTTAAGTGATTTCTTGATACAGCAGGTCTGGCAGTAATCAGGCCTGGATCTGGCTAGTGAAATTGGTGGATAAGCTTTCCAAAAATATAGTTAATGACAGGTAATTCATCATTTAATAAAAGGGCTGAAATTACTTCTTTCACACAGGGCCATGAAGGTTTGGATAAAAACAAAATAGGACCTCCTTTTACCCCCCATTACCTTATATATTATTGGTTTAGCAATACTCTATTGAAATTTGTTTTGATACCATCCATGTGGGATCAAGAAGTTTGTTCTTTTCAGTATTAAATTAGACTAATCTGGGAGTTTTACTCTAAAAATAAAAAGAACAATATAAGATCGTTTCTGTAAACTTGAAATGCTGTGTAGTATATTGTCTTGCCTGTGGTGCCTGCTTGTGTTTTTGCAGATTCTTGCATATGTTGCATACTGGTGATCTCAGAAAGTGGTATGAGTGTTCACCATTTGATACCAAAATAGCGTTTCTTAGTTGTTCTGAGGGCCTGTGAGTGGCCCCGAGGGACCGCCATATTCTTTTTACTCAAATATAACTCTATTGTCAGGTCTGGTCCTTTCATATGGTGCAGATGGAGAGATGGTTTAGATGAAAAGAAGTCTAGAAAGAGTGAAATGAGATGTGTAGCTGCGCATGACTGCACTGCAAGAACAACCTCTGTGTCGGCTGTGCAGGGACGTGCATGTATGCGCATGTGCAAGTGTTTCAAAACATCCATCTGTGCACTATTTGCATATTGCTCTTTGGAACAACAACCTAGCACGCATGATGAAATGTGTTTTAGCATTTACCTAGTTCTTAGAAGAAAGCTGTATTTCTTCTTCATGTGGAAATGAGCCATAAGATCAAGCCTGGCAAAGATATAGTAAAAGTGTATACACTAACTCTTGCCTCATGGGAACTGAAACATAAGACAGCCACTCTTTCTCGGGACAGTCGATCCTTTGTTTTGGCTTTCGGGATGGAGAGGGGAGTGGTGGGGTGTGTACCTGTCAGAACCTGAGAAGCTGAATCCTTATCAGACACCCGAGTGGATTTTTTCCCAGATTACTCAAATACATGCTCAGAGGGAGAAACAAACTGTGAGGGGAGAGGTATTCAGTGTAAGACTGACAGTTTTTTTCCCTTTTTTTTCTTTTCTTTTATTAATAGCGCTCTTTTATCTAAAAGCAGAGTTTACAAAGTGCTGTCAAAACAGAAAAAAATTATTAATTTGGAAAAGGTGGGCAAGTTAAAGACTCATTCAAAATAGAGGTGATAAAAATATCATCAGAAACAGACAAAAATAGGGACTGGAGGAGAGGCGAAAGAAGAGTATGAAAGATGTTAATGTTTAGCTTCTTGTATACTGGTTAACTATTAGAGAGCCAAGGGTCATATTTTTCCCTCCGTTACCTTGGCCAGCCTTGGGCCTTGTTGTAATGCCACCCATGTCGGGACTTTTACGAAAAGGCAAGCATAAATAGTGCCATTAATGTTATTGTTTGTATTGTTTTTATTTTAAAAAAATATAGCCTAAAATATTTTTTTGCCATCTTTTGCTCCCCCAAAATGGTACTGAATATTTTACTGGTTATCAAGTTTGAAATTATAGTATTGTTAAAAAAACCCCTACTCCACAGATGCCAAACTCATTTTACATAGAGGGTCACATACAACCCACTTTGATCTTAAGTGGGCCAGACCAAAGAAATTCTCCTTTTAGTCTGTCACAAAGTTTAACCATGCATTTAACTACCCATTGTAAAAAAACAAAAACAAAACAACTCACAACAACAAAAAAAACAACCCTGAAATTTCTATTTCTTAATTGTTTTCTGTTATATAATATATTATTTACTTTTTAATTACTTTGGTGATTCTGGCCCCTGGGTCTTGTATTTAGCATCCGTGCCCTACTCATTCCTGGTTGTGAAATTTAAAAGTGATAACTTACCAAATTGTATCAAAAGAGAAAACTATTTAATCTAGAGCTTGTCTAACATGCTAGTCTCCCATCAGTGTCCTTTCATAATTCCTAAATATGCAACCTAACAAAAATTTGCCTACTTGCACTTTTAAAGTTCGCTAATTAAGATGTAATATTTTTTACATTTATTTTTTGAACTTTGGTATGGATTGGATGGAGTCCAGGAAGTCACCACAGCAAGTAATCCATAGTGTAGCACCCCATACAAATGTGTACTACAACTTTAAGTCCCCAGCCTTTGTTCTAAACTCACTGTGCATCATTTAGGGCCTAGCCTACTGCAGTGCACTGACAGGGTCATGGCTGCTATGACTCCTAAAGCATCTTTATCATAGCAGGGGTGTGTGCATAATGAAATTAATGCATCCATTAATATTATAATTATGATTTAGAATTGCATATTCTCTTTGCAAATTAATACAATATTACATTACTATGAAAATTAAATTTCTTCCCTCCAGTGGTGATAACAGCATAACTGAATGTGATGCTTTGTTGTATGCCTGTACTCTTCTTTGCCCATTTTAATAAGGGCACTCTATTTATTTATTTATTTATTTTCAATGAAGATGCATATCCAAGGCTGAGAAAACAGATGCATGTTGACGATCTGATACCAAGAATATGCCGATTAAAATCTTGTGTATAATATATTTTATCTACTCAGTTTATGAGATTGTATGCAGCATAAGTAAGCACATTTGTGGGTGGCTGTGTGTCAGAGAGAGCTGATGGGAGTTGACTTGAGGTAGCTGGTGTGCCATTTTGCATCAGTACAACCTGAGGGGAGCTATAGGGATCAGTGTCTTGTGTATGTTTAGTACAGACGCCCTGCAGGTATGCCTCAGGCTGAGAGCAAATCATTATTCATTCTTCTAAACTGCATGATGCAACACTGTGTCAGCTTGAATAACAATTTGATGTGTAATGAGCCTAGTGTGGTATTACTGAAAAAATTAACCAGCTTTTATTAACATCCTCTCTGTTTCTCTGTTCCTCTTCTATTTCTCTCCTTCCTGTCTTCTACTTAACAGAGGAAGCTGATCATGGAACATTTGGTACCGATTCCCTGACCAGGAAGAAGAACACTGTGCTTTCTGCGGTTCTTCTGCGGCCTGATCACAACAAGAAAAAACCTCCAGTGATCATCAGCCTCCCTAAAGACTTCCGGCCTGTATCGTCCATCATCGACGTCGACATCCTCCCGGAGACGCACCGACGTGTTCGTCTGTACAAGCACGGCCAGGAAAAACCACTGGGTTTCTACATCCGCGATGGTTCCAGTGTACGAGTCACCCCACAGGGCTTGGAGAAAGTCCCAGGAATATTCATCTCTCGCTTGGTGCCAGGCGGGCTTGCGGAGAGCACCGGCCTACTGGCGGTTAATGACGAAGTGCTGGAAGTGAATGGTATCGAGGTTGCTGGGAAGTCGCTGGATCAGGTGACAGACATGATGATCGCCAACAGCCACAACCTCATCATCACCGTAAAGCCTGCCAACCAGCGGAACAATATCATTCGTAGTGGAGTAGGCGGAGGAGGGGGTGCAGCATCTGGTAGTTCAGGACGCTCATCAGACAGCGGCGCCAGCTACTATGGCTACTCGTCACACAGTGCTGCAGCCTCCATACCACCACACATCATCCAGAACTTCCCCGTCGGGGAGTTGGAGAGCGATGAAGATGAAGAGGACTTGGTAATCGAGGCAGGAGGCGAGGCTGAGCCAATCAGACATGTGGCCTCCAACCACAGCATGAGCTCACTGCCTCGTTACGAACCACACCTCAACCTCCGCACCGCCACCACTTCCACCTTCTCCATTAACACCAATGGAACCCTGCCCACCAGCGGCAGCAGTAGTTCCCTAAGCAACATCAAGGCTACAACGCCGTCCCCAGACAGAGCTATGGAGAGGGGGAGTTTGGAGGAGGACGGTACTGTTATAACGCTGTAGACTGGACATTTTACACACTACACACTGGAGACCAGAGAAATAAACACTCTTGTACTTTAACACACATGGAGGGTTGATGGAAAAATCAAAGAAAACCCAGGAACGTACAGTTCCATCTAACAGTGACTAAACCTGAGAAGCACAAACATACGTCTGCGTATTACATCTCGACCTACTAAATTTGTCCTTTCACATCAAACACTACACCCCCATACTTTGCTCTTCTGAATGCCAATGACCACATATTTGTGCCATAGCAGTGACAGCCCCCATTTCTGGTTCTGCAGCCACAAAAACAACAACAGAAAACCCCCCTGAAAGTGTCCACTGTTTCTGTTTATTCTAAACGCACCTGTTTTTAATCCCATAACTGTTATTCCGCCGAACTTCCTTTAGCGGGCAGAGATAGGAAGCCCATCCTCACATATTTCCTCTTTTTAAGTCATGCTAACAAGCTAATATCACCCGTAAAGCAAAAACACTGTTTTTTCTTTTTGTCTTGTCACTCTGCAGCATGCTATGATCGCCTGCCTTCTCCCAGGTAACAACAGCATGAGTGCAGAATTTTCCCTCACAAGGCACAGCAAACAACTAGATGCTGAGCTCTGGAAAATAAATAAATAAATA